TTCCGGACTCGCCCAAAGCCCGATGTTGGCTTGCGGCGGCTGCTCTCTCCGGGGCCATCGGCGTTAAACAACTGCATCAAACAGCGAACGTTACGCCGTTACGCTATTCGTGCCTGTTCTAGTTCTAGTGATCCTAGTGTACCTCGTTCATCCTCGTTCTGCTTAGTGCACTCAGGTGCATCAAACTATTTTTAACCTGTGACTTCTGTGACAACTGCTCCTCCGAGATCTAGCAGCACAAAGCCCTGTAAACCTTCATCTCTGACATGATGCATCTTCAAGTAGAAGGTCTTGGCCTCCCCAGCCTTGAGGAGCGGACGAGACACGCAGAAGTGTGAGATTCCGGCTTATCTGGGAGAGGCTCGGCTTTGTGACGAACTCGGACATCCCCCTCTTTCTCTCTCTATATCCGCCCGCGTCAGCTTTAAGCAGAACGCCCAAACAGTGAGACTCCGAAGTAACACAACCCCTCTGCCTCGGCGTTCGGCACCAGATTCCCGCGGAGCAGGGCCAAGGCATCTTCGCAGATGCTCTGGAGCTCAGCCTCGACCTCTCTAAATCGCAGGTTGCACACGCACACACACACTCACACACTCACTCAGTCTCTGTCTCTGTATCCTTCTCTTTCTTTCACCCGGGCTACGACCGAGGGTTGCCCCTCTCTCTCTCTCTCTCTTTCGCGCTGGCTCTCTCTCTCTCTCTCTCTCTCTCTCTCGCTCTCTATCTATCTATCTATCTATCTATCTATCTATCTATATGTATATATATATACACACACACACGCACTCAGAATTATCGGTGTATACATATGTTTATATGCATATACACACATACAACTCTCTCTCGATGACGGAATGTGCATATGCGAAAAGCAATCGCGCATTGAATTCGAATGCAAGGGATTTTAATTTCAAAATGATGGGCGGTATTCAAGACGGTACGTATTTCTGCCCATACCACTTAGACATATGTACGTGAATCTGAAGGCGTGCCTCCATCCATCCATCCAGGAATCCAACCAGCTATCCATGCTTGCATTCATACATATGTACAGGACATGTGCATACACACGCATATACCCATCCATGGGTACATATATGCAAGCACACATAAATGTGTGTACACATACCCGAAATGCTCACACAAACTTAAACAAAATATATAATCACAAACATACCTAGCTACACACATGCATGCAAGCGTGCAAGCATGTATCCGTGTCGCGTGTCGGTACACCCCCCCCCCCCGTGGCGACACTCACCTGGATGGGCCATGGTTTCGGTCTGTGCTGACCCTCTTTCTAGATTCTAGATAGTTGGGTGCGCGCATGTGTGCATGCGCATATTCATGGATCATGCATGTCTATTCTTGTGTAGCACATGCATGTACACAAACACTTCCACGTGCACAGACAACTATGAATGGTTATATATGACTTTAACATACATACATACATACATACATACATACATACATACACATATGTAAATACACACCCACGCCTTTCAGTGTGTGTATGTATATGTTAAATGTATTCATACAATTTCATACACATTCATAGTAGACGCCTTTGGTTGATGTGATGTAATTGCTTGCGACTCGCCTCCACTACTCTTGTGAAAGAAAGTGAACTCAGGAGGCATCGAGAATGGGTTGAGGAAGAGTTGTGCTGGGACCCCGAGTGATGTACAGCAAGTTTAGCCTTCAGGGCGGCCGCATTATGATGCTGCAAGTGCATGGCTTCTATATATCATCACTTCCTGAATCCACGCAATCGAATTCCTACTCCGAATCTCCTTGACTTTCGACCATGTTCCTGAACTCGATGCCCTCACCAGGTTAAGGACGTGTGTCAAGTCTCAAACCTGTGCACGGCTCAGAGTCAAGAAGCCCAAACAACGGTTACACCACGGCTGCGCATGAAGTAGACATAGTATTCGACACCCTGCTTTGCAAGGATGCGTCATGCAAATTTGGTTTCGTCTTGAATTCTTGTCTATATGGCCAATGCCACCTGCAGGTACAGTAGAATGCAAATATGCACAACATTAGTTTCTAAAGGGCTTTAACAGCCAGAACAAGGTGAACAAAAAGGCGCCTGCACAAAATCTATTGAATACCACCCCCTGTATATTACTATGAAAATTATATGCACCTTTTTACACTAGTCAACAGCAGGGCCTTCTCGTTTAACGAGGGATGCAACCGTAGGAGTGACAGAAAAAAACGAACCATCCAAGTAGCGACAAAAAACGTTTACGATTGTCATGCTCGTACAGAACACAAGACGGATTTGTGACGTTAAGGACAAACTTGGCAAACACTTCCTGGAACTTGACTTCTGCACCGTCATTCAGCGCTGCAAACCTATGGTGGCACGAACCCCCTCCATTGCGGGCTACTGAGCAGTACCCCGAAGGTAAGCCACAAACAACAATTCCCAAGCCACAACATATGGAGCTTCGGTGACCCGCCTTGGAGCGATAGCCCTTGGCAAGGGAAGCATGGGCATCGCGGCCCTCCGAAGTCTCCATCTGAGGACCAGGGCATACGTTCAAACGGGTCGCGATGTGAGCATCGCGATATGATGGTATAACTGCCACATGCTCCGTGTTATTCTATTTCTGTGGTCGCCTCAGGCAGGACATACATGGGGAAGCCACGAGGAAGTCAAGATCAGGATGAAACATCCATCCGCGGCGTAGCGACCGTACAAGATTCGTCTGAAAACATGGGCTGCCGAGATTTCAGGAGTTCAGGGCTAAGACGAAGAGATTGAGAGTGCGAGGCCCGAAAGTCGGATGCGATCTCGAGAACTCGGACTCGAGAACCCCCTCATCCGATCTCATCCGTAATTAACGGGCGCCCCGCAAACGAACTGCTGAGCCTGCTCCACACCGTCAGCCACGCGCACTGCCACGCGGCGCTCGGTAAGCGAATTCCTGGGCAGAGCTGTCTGTCTGTCTGTCTGTCTGTCTGTGTCTGCACCTGTGTGCCGGGTCACCTGCAGGCATCCCTCCACCCCCCCCCCTCAACCGTCATGCCAAAGTCCCTTCATGTCAGAGCTATAAATAGGTGGCATCCAATGCTGGTTTAGGTCCGGACCTCCCCCTATAGCTGGACATCTATTGGGATTCTATTGAGTTTGCTGCGGGCCCCTCTGCAAAAGAAGTGCAAAACGACATGGGCAGCCTCCTGAGAGCGGGTTCAAACTGGTGTTCCTCTTGCAGCTTGAGCACTTGAATGCGGCTGAGAACATGTCACGCTCCTCGCACATCAACGGCTATGTCAATGTCGTTCCCTGGTGAGCACAGGAGAAGCCACGATTGGGCACATCTGCATCAGTCTCTTGCAAACCCCTCGTCGAGACTTCGCTCAGGTCCTCGGGATTTAGGATCGGTCCCATCTGCACACGCATCCTCAGAGGGAAGCGCTGCCAACAGAGACTGTTGGGATCAAGGGCACTCTAGAGTCTCTATTCCGATCCTGTAAACATGTGGTGCTGGCCCATTTTCAGCTGGACACAACGACCTTATTGCATGTTGAAGGGGTCGTCTTCGCGATGGTTGAGGTGATCATCGTAGACTGCTTCCGCACGGAAGGCTTGCGTTTTAGGATTCTCTGCTTCACGGACTTGAGAAATCATTATGGCATCATTATGGCTGTCGATGGACCGAGAACCCTAGCAGCTGTTGCCGCTGGAGCTTCGACGCTTCAAACCACGTTCCTATCGTGTTGCCTAATCCCTCAGAAGATGACCAAGTGTCAATAACGATGTCACGGTATGCAGCCCCTGCTGCCCCCCCAGCAGACGGAACATAATTACTCCGGGCAATCAAAAGCACAAGTATGAAACCAACCCCAGATTTGAAGCCCGAAGCAAACCCGCAGACTCTCAGCACCAACAGCGTTGATTCAAAGGGCTTCATGTAGTTTGCCATCTCGTCGTAGCGCTCCGCTCGCTCGGCCACGCGGGCCAGGGTCACCAACGTCTCCTTGAGAGGAAGAGTTCAGCCTTTTTCGACATTTGCACTCTAACAACTCGGAGTCGGCGAGGCGACTGGGTTGTCATCTGGTTTAAGGGGCGGCTGTCGTTCAACTGAGCTTGCAGTGCTGGGTTGTATGGTCAATGGACGTGAGGCCACACTCGATAAGATCTGCCCTTTTACTTTGCGATCTACATATCTATCTATCTATCTGATCTATCTATCTAGTTGCATGTATGGTTGTCTGTCTTTGTATAGATAGAATGGTATGATGAAGTGTCACGGGGTGTAGACTCACGCTGGATATCGTCGTCGCGCTTCGCGATACTGCGACATGCGACTGTAAATGTGGGCGCGGCTTTGAGGCTGCTGGGCATGTCACCAACGCCGAACAAAGATCTGCATGGAACATGGTTTGATGTGAGGGGGTTTCCCGGGTGACATGTCAGGATGCAGTATGGCACTCAGTACGGCTTGGCTCGGTCTTGTGCCGCGTACTGTAGCCGCCTAGCTGATGAGATTTCGATGCCGGACTCTGCTGATTTGCAGCGGAGTCTAGGAGGCTCAAGGCTGTTTTTCTAGGACCATGTTGGACCGTGCATGCGGTTTCGACACTGTAGCTCCGACCGTCTGCCAAGGCCCAAGTGCAGGCTGAGCGTCCGCATCCATGGCCGGAAAAGAAGCGTGACAATCAAAGCACCCCCAAGCCCTCTCTGTCAATCTGAGCCGAAAAAGGATTGCGTTCCAACACTCTTGGTTTGCGCATGCTCAGCAGGGCTTCCTCGAGGCTTGAACAGAAAGGAATCATAGAACAGTGAAGAGATCGATCTAGAGACTTGACACGATTCAAGCTAAAAGGGTACAAGGACGATAGCAGAAGGATTTTACAGGACAGAGAGGCCGAGAGGAGGGTTTGAATCATGTGAACCGTCTTGAGGTATGTCAGTGTTTCCCAAACTTGCATGTGACCGCCCCGAGTAAAGCAGAGCAGCTTACTGCTCCAATCCGCAGTGCCTTGCCATCCACGCTATAGATGTACTGGTCGTCGAAGCCCAAGGAGCACAGAACGTCTGCTCCTTGAATCTTCCATCTACGGGCAGCGCGAAACCAGTGTGCTAGAGGCCGTCTCAGTGACGTCCAGAGCGCTGTCGGCTGGTGCTGTCCAACACAATGACAGAACTGTCCACACGGTCTCGCATGTGCGCTCATAAATCCGTCAGGAAATGCAAGCCGAAGGTCGAGCTTTCACTTTCTCCAGCTCAGAGGAGCCAAAAGGAAGCTGATTCCGGTCAGCCTGCAGAGAAAGGCAGATTCAACCGGACGTCAAACACATCACTGGAACACGAGCACGGGCGCGCCTCTTCCTCGGCTGCCTGCACTTGCACTGCACATGCTGCGCTTCATCCTGTGCCTCTGCTTGTTTTACTGTATGGTGAGTTGAGCGACATCGTGAAGAAATCCAATGCTACGAGTACTAACTAGTTGGACATGCTACATGCAAAAGAAAAACCTTACCGCGAGAGAATGCTGCAGACCTGAAGCTGCAATCACTCCATAATAAGCTTGAGCATATATGCAGTGGAGGCTGTACTTCAGCCCAACCTTCTCTGCGTGCGACTTCTTTGGTCGCTTGGGGTCTTCCTGAGTTGAGGAATTCGACAGAAGACTGGGGAAGTTTCATGACACAAACTTGAGCACTTCCAGTTCTACTTACTGACTTTAGTGCCTGGCCGAGCTGGCCCCCCACGGCCCGTGGAATCCGAATGCAACCATGAACAGGTTTCAACTGTTGTCTCTACCCTACTAGGCTTCATGCCTTGTCTTAGGGTTCACAGAACAGTTTCATGCCTTGACAAATTCTCGTACGCTGCCGGCATTAGCCAGGTGGCCGGAACGGGCTCGGGGGGGCCTGGTGGTCGAAGCGGAAGCTCCTCGTCACGCAGCTTTACTTGGGCCTGTCTCGCGGACAAGACGCCCAAATCGGCTCATGGTCTTTCACAGTTGCCCGGCAGTTTACATGGGGTACACTGCGGGGAGAAAGTTTAGGTCTTCGTGGCGAGTGTCATGAGGGCTCCTGCTCTCGTCCGCTGTATGGAATTGTCGGGACTGTGTTGGGCGATTGGGTTCCGGGAGGCTGAGACCTTGCATGTCTTGAGTCTTGAGGCTATTTCGGATTGAGTCTTTTAAGGGCCCGGGCGATCCCGAATCACAAATCGATGCTGGCACTAGGACGGCATGCTGAGGCTCAGAACACCCCGAAATCCTTAAGCCTTAAGCTCTCCAAATAATTGGCTTGTGGCCGGTTGTCTGCTTGGGTTCAACCTCCGATGAGTAGAAGTTCTACTCGAGACAAGTTATGGGAAGACCGCAAAGCATGGTCCGCCGGCGGAGCCCCACGGCCGTCCCAATTCCTCGCATTCGGATGGTACATGTCGAGTGTAACTGTAACTCGATGCATGCTGGTCAAGCGAATATGCATGGAAGTAGCTGGTATCGATCTGCTTCAGTCGGGCTTTCGTGGTGGCATCCAACCCAAAAAAGATACTGAAGAAATAACAGCCAAGTGAGCTCAGGCTTAGAGTTCACAGCCCAGGCTGTCAAATACATCACCGCGAACGCCCGCTTGGGAATGCGATTCATAAGCCGAGGCTCAACACTACGTTTGCAACGCTCCAGGCGAAGCCCTCATTGACCAGGCGGCCAGTATGCCGCCTCGAACGGCAGCTCTGCACGCAGTAATCTGACAAAAAAGAGAGACAACACGTGGGGGTTCAACGCACACGACACGCCAGCAAAGAACGGCGAAGATCTTTTGGCAGCATCTTCTCCGCTGTAGCGCCGCCGCTTGGGGCCGTTCGCCATCCAAGTAAGATACTCGTCGTCGGAGGACATGGGCTCCTCCTGTCGTGAACTGCCAAACACAGATCGGCTTTTCCCCAACAGGCTCGAACACCAACCACAACAACCCAATGACCCAGTGTATCTCTCTGCTGAACGGAGCGAACCCGAGTCAGCTTCCAAAGGTGGTGTTTGTTCAAATTAGCGGCCATGATGCTGCCCACAATCCCAGGCGAGTCCTGCTTGTCAAGCGCCACTTGCCTGCTGCTCCTGTCCTCTGTGGCATGTTACAACACGCTGCTACAGGCACTGCTTCAGCCAGGGATGATCTGATTCGAACCTTTCTGTCCTTTCCGACAATCCCCAAGTCCTCGCTAATTGACACAGACTGGCCAAAACGAAACTCAAATGTTGTACTGAGGTAATGCGTAGTGTCGAAGACGTAGGACACCTTGGGATCATCGCCGTCCATCTGTGGTTGCTTGGCCATCAGCGATTCGCACAGATCCTCGGACAAAGCTTGTGCTACTCTGCCTCCACGGAACAAGGAAGCACAACGTGCATCAGTCCTTGTTCGAAGTTAGCCTGGGGAATCACTGCTATTGTGCACTCGCTGGTACCTATCATCTTCTTCAGTGCACTTTGGGACCTGTAAAGCCGACGACTTGCTGCTCAATCATGGGTGGCTACATACAACAAGATTCTCAAAGAGAAAGGCTCACCCCTAGCACCTGCACATTCTCAATCGGCCGCGGTTCTGGACGATGGCACTTCAAGCTCTGGCGCAAGTGCCGCGCCAGGACCGGGTGGGTGGCCGATGTGCATCTGAGCGCAGGCAGCTATAGCTATTAATCATGAATCCATGTGCAGTCGGTATGACGACTGCCGTAGGCTGGGAGCTACATGCCAAAACTACTCCGAAGCCATTCCATCTGCAAAGACTACAGTGTAAAGGAATACCAGGACTCTCTGTACTCGAACAGACATCCGCTGGTCTCTGTACCTCAAGATGAACTCCAGGAATTCAGAATACGCGACCCATCCCAGGTTCAAGTCGGGCACCTCCAAACGTTCCCCACATTCCACTCGTTGCAGAAGTTCTGAGTGACCGCCAGTGAATCCTTGTAGTTTGGGGAGCGTAGCACAGCTGATTGAGGAGATGTGGCTGCCCAAACCATCCAGCGACGGCTTAACTCGTACAATTTCTTATAGACTATTACAGACATAGCGAAAAGACGGGTCTAGGTCTAAAGGGTATCTCGTACACAGAGCCTCCAGATCTTCCGTCCCCAATCAATCACGCCTCCAGGTTCAGGACAGCATGCCACCATCGTGCTGGCACAAACACGACCTGGAGCCAAAGGACGATCGGGGTCAGACTTGCCACTCGGGGTCTTTCCTTGTTACAGCAGCTGCGGCATGTGGCTCAAACGGTTGATCTGAAGGGGCTTTGGAAGGTTGTCTGCGAATCCAATCCCTTGCTCTTCTGGCTCTTGAAATCTCCAGAACTGGCGCAGAAACCATCATAACATGAATACAGGGGCCATGCAAACAGTCGCCATGCCTGCGGATGCAAACGTGATCTTGCAGATTCTGTTCCGGGATTTCGAGGCTTCTAAGTTGAAACATTATTTGCATTAATTCGCAGCAGGCCTCTCCCGGCTGCTGCAGGAACTCGATGGGTGTGAATCGCTCGGGCCATGCCCGTGCACGAGCACTCCTTGGACAAGGGGCTCTCGCAGATGCAAAGCCCAGCTGCTCTAGCAACACATAGAGTAGCTGGAACTGCTTCTATGTGGCAGCTCATCCACAACAGGATACCAGATGCAGCTCATCTCGAAGCCAATATTTCTGGGATCAGCGAAGTATCGACACCGAATCTTAAAAGGAGTGCGATCGAAAACGTCAACGCCTGCCCCGAGAGCCCTTGTTGTTTCGGCTCGAGGCCTTGCTCAGAATTCGACATGTACGAGTTGCTGGTCGGTGACAGTCGGGAATGAAGGCAATTAGCCACCAATCCATGCGCATGCTGACCCTGCCAGCTCACCTTCAGCTGAGACACTTCCACCAATGCAAAAACCTTGCCAAACGGTGGCTCCCAGAAACACCAGGTCAACAAACGCAAGCAGTCGCACCGCTGTGATGCCCCCACCGACTCCGGCACGAGTAGTCTAATGTAAAGTCGCAGACTTGAAACTTGGTGGATAACATCCTCCAGTACACCAGGATTCTAACTGCTGAAATGAAGAAGATGCGACCTGTGGCCAAGAAAATTCGGCTCAATGCTGAAGTCTGAGTGTATGCATGCATGCTTGTGTCCAGAGATTCTTGCTCCACATCCCTCCGACTGCAGCCGTGGTTGCCAGCATGAGGCGGACTCCTCGCTGAAGTCCGTATCTGCCTGCGACAAGAACCAGCCCATGGTCAGAAAACGTGGAGGCAATGCCTTGAGTGTACTTCGGCATACTGTCGCTGAGACAGATTGCATCTCATTCTTCGGCATTAATCCGTGCTTGACGTCTTGCCACGTCAGGTCTTTTCAGGCCCCTCTTCCAAAATTCGAGTCCCAGGACCCTGACTGGCCTCGGGGCGTAGGAGCTCCGGCGGAGTGGAGGGCGGGAAAAGGACCCAAAGCTTCTTACCTGACTAAGAGGAGCCTCCGCCAAATGAACTGGACTTTGAATGTGTTTTTGTTCGAAGACTCCTACACTCATCGCTCGGCAAGCAAAGCATGTAAAAAGTTCAGAGCCAGACCAGAGTTCTCCAGCTACTAGTGGCGTCGCTGAGCAGCTCATTCTGATCCTCAAATTCAAGCCGAGTGACCGAACACGAGGGCATTCCAGGCCGATGTGCCCAAAGGATCTTTGTGGAGAGTGCTGCCAGAACCTTCGGCGCTTGCAATTTCTGCAACTGCTCAATGATCCATGGCCCGAGCAAACCGTCCGCACAAGCAAAACAGAGTACTCAGCACCGTCGCAAGGATGGTTGGACTGCAATCCTACATCCTGACCTGTTGATGGGCTCTTGAAGCAACCGGCACTTCCGCAGCACTCTCCATCAATCTGAAGAAACTCTCTACCACGCCGGAGGCACGGCGGGGTCCAAGCAGGAGCCATCGGAACGGCGGCCGCAGCGTTCCTCGGTCCAAGCCGGATTTAACACACCTCCTCGGCATGAGCCCCCTGATTGCAAAGCAAGCTACCGAGCTCTGCCAAGAGATCGCTCTGGAAAGCCTCGGGCACCTCCAACGGGTGCTCAAGAATGGACGGATCCTGCGCCTCTGCGCCCGGCGGCCTCGTACTCGCTCAGCAGGCTTTTCGTCGAAGGGTACTCACCGAAGGCGTGGTCGAAAAGGTAGAGTGGTGTGTCGTCTTCCTGTTTTGTTGGTTCTGAAGCAGTACATGTGCGTACCTAGTGATGAGCTTTTCGAACTCAAATCAAACGAATCCAGTTTTGCCTGCTCTGCCATGTAATCCCTGAAGTCATTGAAACGCATGCGGATGCCGAATCGGTGATCGCAAATGATCTTCTGATGGCCGAAATCCGCTGAAAAGTTCTCCATGCTCCAGCGGCCCATTGCGGGCCATCTGTGCATTGCGCCATTGATCAGTGCGGGAACTGATCTGCTCTGGTACTCCCGCCCGAAGTCTTTGTACTTCTCATCTTGCACATCAACCCTTGCAATGTTGTCCATGCAGCGGCCATAGATAGCCCCCAAGTCCAAGCGAGCGAAGGAGTGGACCTGTCATGCCACAACAGCATAAATCGAATGGCTGAGACATGCTGAGACTAAATCTAATTGCCGACCACCAACGTCCGCCCGAACACAGCAAGATCGCATTCAGAACTCCAGATAATCCAGCCTTCCAGTCCGCTTCCTTCCAGTTGGGCCGGCGCTGTGCTCGCACCTGCTCAAGCAGCCGCCGGCGCCTCGCCGCCCAATCCTCCTCTGGGCTGGTTCTGAGTTCTGAGCACGAGCACCACCTATAGAAGCATTGTCACAGGGTGTACAATGTGAATTGAAAACGTGTCATGACTCACAAACAGGAGCACTAGCCTTCAGCCCCGACCTGCCCGTCCTCAGTGCCAGGCAGCGTCGCCAAGCGCCGCTCGTGGGCTTTCAGTGCGGCCGTGGCCTCGGAAAGTTCTTCACTGGCCTCCGCATCGCCAGGACGCAGGGTCAGGACCTGGCCATTGCTGAACGGAAGTACGCATAAGGCAACCCTTCGCTTGCGAAGATGAGGCCGGGCAACTTATAACCAAATGTATCAAGCCACGGTCACGAACAACAATCTGAGCTGTGCACAGAACATGAAACGTAAAGCACCCGACGGCAACTATTCTTCCAGTGGCTGCATGAATTCCCGCTGCAGGCGGGGGTTCGACCAATTGAATGATCCAGTTCCGTGCACATGCAGACTGCTCGGAAAGCCTCTTGGGGCGAGCTGCACAAGTAGCCGTGGCAACAGCCGTTTCTGCTTTTCATGTAATTATGGAGTGCTACGACATAGGAGACGGCCTGCTGGTACGTCTCGATGGCCTCTGGAACGCGGAAGGCACTCATCAACGCTCGCGCTAGCGTCTGCTTCGCCTGTCGGGTTGACATGGCTACACCACACACGCGTCCGGCAAGCCCAAGGCGCAAGAAGCCGCTGCCGCTGGCCATCAGCAAGAGCTCAGCTTTAAAGGCCGCAGATTTAATTATGCTACGTCTATACTAGACATGTGGCTGAGTCGGTGGCCACGGGATCATCTTTGTCTCGACAAAGATTACTCCAGTTTACTCTTTGCTGTTCCGGGATTTCCCGGGTGACCAGAACCCTCTCTACAAAGACGAAGCCCGGGGGCCAGGTAAAACGATGAAGCTGATTCTGCTTAGGCCTCTGGCAGTGTCAGCGTCGCTCCTGGGGCCAGGGCGACGGCATTGCGAGCCGCCTCACAAAGCAGCAAAGCAGGGGCAGATGCTGTCCAGGCATCCGAACTTGTTGCGCGTGCAGATTTTTGTGGGACAGACCCTTTGCAATGCATTGTGGTCGTTAATGCAGATTACTCCTGTGCTGGAGCATCACTCACCAAGCATGTGTGAGGCTTTGAAAACACGTCACAGGAGCATCGGCGACAAACGGCAGTGGACTTGCGACAGGGAATCTCCTGGCTGCGACAGCCAGGTACCACGAGTTGGAAGGTGACAAAGGACGACTCAACAACATCAGTATTTCAACGCATGTATGATAACGCTCCGTCCCTCGGTGCATTCAGAAAAATGTCCCTACATGTTCCCCTTTTGCAATAATGCCGAGCCCGTGAAAGGTTCGGCTGTAGATCTGGGCCGCCCTCAAGCACACGCCAGATCATGCCAATGCAGGGTTTCAGATGATGTGACCCAGACTTCAGCTGAATATGTTAAAGTACGGGTGCTTCGCCGCCAAGGAAGAGAAAACATACCCTTACAGCATGTATACTAAAACCATAAAGAACCATGGCATGACCTCGACAGCTCGGTGCGCCGAGGAGGCCGTGTCCAACATGAGCTCGCACTGCGCTATCGCCTGCAAAGCTACGCTTCAAGATCCGGGTATGTCAATGCTGCCGATCTTTGGGCTCTTGCTCACAGGTAGACTATGAGGAGAAGTCAGGCCTGTTGCAGTTTGTCCGAATTCCCTGTGCAAAGACACAAGATCCAAGGATGCAAGTACCAGCATCCGATGTTGCAACTCGTGACGCGGAGTGCCGAACATGCTCGAACAGGCATGGTGGTCTCCCTCGTCTCCAGTCCTCGCTATACAGTACGACCGCCCTGAAGTGCGGCAATGAACTCGTGCTGTCTGGCCTCCAAGAGCTCCGGCGTTGAGACCGCCGGAGGGTCGAGGTCCCTGAAAGCAGCAAGAGCCTCGCCGAGTGCGTTCGACTTACATAAGACTGTCCGGCCCCGTGAACAGGGCCGTCGCTGCTTGATAATGCTAAGGGCTTCAAGAGTTTCAAGGCTTTGGGCTCAAGCTGTGATGGATTGCCTATTCCGGCGAAATAGGATGCGAGCTCCAGGTGCAAGTTGTTTCAGGAAGTAGGACACATGGTAGACAAGGGTGCAGCAGCAACCCGCTACTGCTTCCGTAAGCCTTTTGTTCACGGGGCCGTGTATAGTGTTCGGGCGCAACCCTTGGAGGGAAGCGGCCCCACTTCACAAGCTGGTCTCTCTCTCTCTCTCTCCCTCCCTCTCTCTAACGCGGCACGATGGAAACGAGACAGAACATCAAATATCTTGACCATGCGCTGCGGGCAATCGGCCTCAACGAAGAGGCCCTGTTCGGCTAGCCGACTCCCCCGATGCAGCACGTCGTTTGCATCACACACCATGGCTGCGATCGGCCTTTACTCGTGCAGTTGGGGAGCCATCTGAAGGCTGAAAGACGAAGGAGTTGTTTCAAAAATGCATTAGCGTGATTTGGCGGTGCTCCGGCAATGCGCTGCAACATTTTATGCACCATGTTGCAAATATACTACCGTGCGTGCGTTTCTGTGCTGTTGTGTGTGTGTGTGTGCATACATGCGTATGTGTGTACACATGCGGCATGCATGCATGTGTGCATAATATACGAAACTTGGTACAGTTCTCGATCTGCGCGCATAATTTAATTTGCTATGTATGTAGGCAAGCTTACCATAATCAATGAATGCTGACTGCTTTACCTCAATCTGTGTGCGCATGTGGCTGTTGCAGCTCCGTGCTTGAGCATGGTGTGACCGTTAGCGTGGTCAAGCCCTTCTGCCCGGAGAAGGAAGCCCCTTTCACTGCAAGCTCCAGGCGGTGGATCGCGAGTGTCGTTCAGACCGGCGGAGGCAGCGACCATCAGGGGTGTGCGGCCTGGGGGCGGAGGGGGATTGTGATGCTAGGCAAGGGAGCCTGGGCTGAAGGCTACAGGACCCTACCGGACTGCTGCAGGCAACACAGCGGTGCCTTGCTTGTCGATCAGCCCAGGGTGTGCCTGCCCAGCATCACATGACTGTACGCAGCAATCTCTGATCGGCATCAAAAACTGACAGCACGAGTGGTCCGTCATCAAGAGACACATGTTGGAATTTCGGGCTTGGGATGGGCCCGATAGCCCTCCGTAGCAGGGATAGCGTGCGTTCCGGGCTTGGAGATTCTGGGACTGAGTGACAGCTGCGATCCCTCGTAGGCCTTCAAAGCCAGCAAAGCTTTCGCCGCCTGTGCGCATGGCGGCAGAAAATCTATGGCTGGCGGGTTGAATCTTCAGTCACCGATTCGCAGTTGAAACCAGTTCATGTAACGACCTCTGGCAAAAGCATCCAGCACCTCAGGTTTGCCTAGTAGCGTGCTTACGTCCCGGTCGGTTGTTGCGACCAAGCTCAGCCTCAGGTACCTGAGTCGCCTCGGAACTGAGGTTCGAGAGAGTATGAAATAGCTTGTGTTGACGACTTGTTGTTTACAGTAAATGTTTCCCGGAGACGGGAAATATGCAATGCCAACCTTACACTACACCAATTGACTTTGCACACTACTTTGCACAGCACGCTAGAGTCTGTCGGCAACTACCTGCTCTGCGAAAGGAACAGCAGCAAACAAAGATCCGCTCTGACCCGCCTCATGTCGGCCTTAGTTCCAGCATGCATGGCAAATTACGAGATTGTGTATTCGCCACTGAAAGACAGCCTCAGAAAATGTCAAACTTGGGGGCTGCATGTGTCCAGAAAAATGTCTATACCTGCACATGACGCAAACGTCTACTAGTAGCAGATGAAATCTCTTGGGAAAGCCTGCCACTATGCACGGGCTGAGGCCCGTGGCCCAAGCGTGCTGCAAGGTGCAGCGGGGTCAGACCGGCAAAGTCTTGACCGTTGACCTGCCGCGCAGGGCCAGCCCGGCCGAGGTGAATCGCATGGGAGGCAGGTGCCGGATTGGATTTTGGAAACTCAGATCGCAGTGCAGCAGCACAGTAGGGAGTCGAATCTTGACTCGAAGCATTTGTGAGCCACCAGGCTTCCAGCCCGAATCCCTCCATGCGCCTCTCCCTTCAGGCTGGCGATCAGCCGGAGCCTTGCTCAGGCAGGCGGGCATTGCGGATCGGAACTAACATGTGAATTCTGCAGGCAGCCAGTCATGCGGACATGGAAGGCTATGTGACTTCCCACCCTTTCAGACTTCGCGGTGTGTGAATGCGCTTAATTTCGGAACTTTCAGCGTATAATCTCGGCATATGAGTTGCGGCTGAGATATCTTGACGCCGGCAATGCGCACCCTTCCACAAACCCCGAGCGAAAGCACAATCACTGCTTTGCGGCAGTCTTGACGTCTAAGCCAAGGGCATTGCACAGGCTTCTTCCTGACAATGCAGCAGCCGATTTCGCACAGCAGATGAAGCTATGAAAACAACAAGACGTGCATCCGAGCATGCAAAGACCCTGAGCCTGCTGCGAACAATCTTTGTTGAGATACTGAAGCCCGAGGCCCATCTTGGTGTCTCAATGGGGAATCCAAGGATGCAAGCTTCCGACTGAAAGCCGGTCTCCTCTTCGCCGATGCACATGATGGCCACGTGTGCGCACTGCCGTCCCTGCAAGATTCACGAGGAAGTTAAAGCAACATTTCCTGGGTGGAGAGTCTGGCCCATACCATCACACCGAGACCACAAAGTAAAAACCCTCAACATGACACTGATGAAGCTTCACAAGCATGTATGAATGTTGAGCACTCACTCTGACATCTCGGACGTGCTCTTCCTTGCGTCGCGATGCCTGGGCGTCTCGAAAGTGGATGTCGGCTAGGCCGGTTCCCATGCCATCGCCAACCTTGGGGCATGCACTATGCATGCACCGGCTACTCGTTCATGCAACTCATGGAAATAGCAACCTTGATTTTCTTCACAATCAAGAACCATCACCAAGAGCCAAGGTGGTGAACAACAGAACCTCCAACCAACAACGGAAATCCTGCCTCTTGTGACAATGAGAGCGAGGAGATGAAACACAGCTTCTTCTGGTCCCACTTGGGCCCCAACTTGGACAAGCTGGATCACGGACATCCGATCATTCGCACCCACAACGCGTAAGAGCTCCTCTCAAGATGGCTGACTCGAACTCGAGACAGGACCTCTCAACTCCCCCCAAACAACTCAAATGTAATCTCTGCAATGCCCCCAGTACCAATGGCTCCAGATTCTTGAGGATGTTGAACTTGGCATCCGCTTTCTCCGCCCTGCTATGCAAAAGAGAACAAAGCATCGAGAGCACGGAAAAGGTCTCAGAATCGCAATGGCTCACTAACAGCAGCCGCGATCTTCATCAGAAAATGGAGAAAGCCGGCAATCATGCTGCAAGTCCCTGAACTGAAAGTATAAGCGAACGTGGCAATGCATCCGGGAAACTCTTCCAGCATCTCTTCCCGCTCCGGCGTGACGGTCCAATCTCGGGGTACGCTCGCTTCCAACGAGTTCACTATGATTGACTAAAAATTCAATAGGCGACTGGGTTACTATAAACATGACACGATGCAGGGGAAGTCGTGCCGTGGCATCATGATCGAGGTGTCTCCAGTACGCGAAGGCGAACCTGCAGATGATGGCCGGCGGCCGGATATGAGAAGGATGCAAAGACTTGCTCGGCATCAAGCTTGGATGAAAAGTGCTGCAGCATGCTGCACACGATGACTCCGAAAGCTCCAAAGAGTGCGGCAGTGCACTAGCTGACAACAGACTCGGGGTAGGTCCCGGCGTGACACCTGACGAGGTCCTGCACTGCACCAACTGAGAACGCGGCTGATAATGGCTTTCACAATGCGAACCTTCCGGTTCCTGACGCAGACGGCCGAAACTCCAAGCTCTACTTTGCGCTCATAACGAGCATCATCGGAGTATCGCAAGTCTTTCCGCCCCACCTATCATGCCTGCATTCAAAAGTCAGGCCAACATGTGCAACTTCGAGGCCCGGCCAAGTAGCACAGCTTCCGTGAGGAAAAGACTCAAGCACTCCTCGCTGCCACCATCAAAGCCGTGGACCCAGAAATGTCTGGCTCCTCACATTCAATTCTTCGGTCTTCGTGTTGCTGGTCGCACTGTTGCAACTGTGAGGGTGAACCCCTGGCTACGTGCGTGGGCACATACATTTTAGCGCTAATAACACCAACTTGCAGCGTCTGCCATCACTTCCGTGCGGGGCGTCTGCACATGAATTTTCGCAACATCTTGGAGCGGAAATGCATGAACTGCACATGTTGACTGGGGTCTCTTGAAATTTAAGCATGCTCGTGAGACTAAAAAGCTCAGAAGCTAGTAGCGTGGGCCCAGAGAGATCGTCGGAAACACCGGACGTGCGGCAGATTGCCTGGCTGTGCAAGGCTCGGAAGAACCCGAAGGTCCATGCCTCTCATTCTGATGGCTTTCTTCTGCTGTGCCTCGCACGGCCATGTCCAAACAGTATTTACATGTGCATCTGGATCCCGGAAGATGCTGACAGGCTTCCTAGAAAAGCTCAACTGAAGCGCTGACTTCGGCCAGCTGGTCTGGTCCAACTCC